AAAAAAAAAAAAAGAAAGAAAGAAAGAAAGAAAGAAAACTACATTGGGTGTGTGTGAGTGCATGCCTAAAATCCCAAGAGGAAACCAGAGAAGATGGAGTTGTGGTGCGACCATCCCCTTGCCCTGGTGGATAATTTCTCACTTTCTCTCTGTCTCTCTGGCCAGCTCAGGTTTCCTTCAGAAAAATAAAAATCTTTTCATCTCTGTAATGCATGGATTATTGTTGCAAATTCAGTGAGAAGAATGTAACTTTAATTAGATAAGACTGAAGAAGGACTTGGAGGAGTAAATCGGTTCCACTAAAATTAGAACATGCCCATGGAGATATGCATAAGAGTAAAGGAAAATTGCATACTTAATATGGAACAATGTGTACTCAAGTGTGGGCATTTTTTAAAATTATTTCTGAATGTTTAAGACGAGATGTATTTGAGCATGTTTTTGTATTCATTACAAAGATCAGACCAAAGGACTGCTTTCAAATACAACCTTGCTAGAGCAGTTAAAAAAAATTTCAATGTATCTTCACTGATACTGGATATTCAAACGAAAATATTATTTTTATTTGACACATCACAAGGGAAAACTAAAGATCTTTACACTGCAATGATTTTATTAATGCTGAGGCTGAATTTATTTTGACTTTTGTTAGTCTTTTTATTTTTCTGTGTGTACAAGTCATCTTTCCATAATTTTTTTATTATTACTTGTTTGAGGCTTCAAGAGCATTTCAACAGTGTTAACATCTGTGGAGCTCAGGAAGCTCTCCTTACTCAAGTCTCTCTGGACTTCCTGCGTATATCACATCTGCTTCACTCAGAGCCCTTTTCATGCATCCCTCTCTGCTTAGTCTGAAGAGTCTTTCATGTTTCTTTAAATAAAGAGCACAGAATGGCTACTTTATAATGCACCTCCTAGTTAGTGTGTCTATGGGAAGTCTTGCAAATAAAATCACGCTGCTGTGTCCATGTTATCACACGGCTGCATACACAGAAAGTAGGACCGCGTGTGAATGGGGGCACTCAATGTCTTCAAGTTTCTGCACCAGCAGGCCCACGGTTCCTCAACATCCCCTGATATCTTTTTTTACTCTTGCCCTCTGCAAGTTGTTCACTTCCCCAGATCCCCTCAGTCCCTGCCCTGTTTTCCCCTAGACTCTGTTCAAATGTCACCGAGTCTGTCACTTGTGCCTGCCACTTTCCATGAAAAACCACCAATAGACACTCTCTCTTATCTACATAATTTCATGCTCTTCAAAGCGCTTGCTAATATATGATCTGCTGCATTATTATTATTTTAGTTTCTTGGGGACTTATATTCACTTCCCAGACAGTGCCTGGAAAATGGGGGTGGCAGGGCTCTCTATTTATATTACTCAAATAGATGAAAGAATTTCTCAGTAAAACTCTGAAACACATGACCTCTGGGGGATGGGTGAGAGTAGGGCCACAATTCCCAGTCAGAGATAACCTTCAAGGGAAGAATATTTTTCTGGGAGAAGCACCATACATATTATGTGTACATTAATTTACTGACTTAAAAAAAAAACTATAACATATTAACTATGTGAGCAATGTCCTCTCTCTCTCTTTCCTGATAGTTTGCTCTACTACTTGGATCCAGGGAATGATATTCTACTACATGGATCCAGAGAATGATACAAGAATTTTGGAATTTCTTCTATTGGGATTATCAGAGGAACCAGAACTACAGTCCCTCATATTTGGGATTTTCCTCTCCATGTACATAATCACTGTGTGTGGGAACCTGCTCATTATCCTGGCCACCATCTCAGACTCCCACCTCCACACACCCATGTACTTCTTCCTCTCCAACCTGTCATTTGTAGACATCTGTCTCATCTCCACCATCATCCCAAAGGTGCTGGTGAACATCCAGACACAGAGCAAGGTCATCACCTACATAGGCTGCATCACCCAGATGTTCTTTCTCATACACTTTATAGTGTTAGATGGCTTCCTCCTGTCCACGATGGCTTATGACCGTTATGTGGCCATCTGTCACCCCCTGCACTACACAGTCATCATGCACCCCTTGCTCTGTGTGTTGCTGGCTCTGGGGTCCTGGATCATGAGTGCCCTGCATTCCTTCTTACAAACCTTTATGACATTGCAGCTGTCCTTTTGTATACACACCGATATCCCCCACTTTTTCTGTGAATTTAATCAGGTGGTCCACCTTGCCTGTTCTGACACCTTTATTAATGACATTGTAATATATTTTGGAGCCACACTGCTGGGTGGTGGAACCTTCGCTGGGATGCTTTATTCTTACTCTAAGATCGTTTCCTCCATACGTAAAATCTCAACATCTCAGGGGAAGTATAAAGCCTTTTCCACCTGTGCCTCTCACCTCTCAGTTGTCTCCTTATTTTATTGTACAAGTCAAGGAGTGTATCTTAGTGCTGCTGATAATCAAAATTCACACTCAAGTGCTACAGCCTCGGTGATGTACACTGTGGTCACCCCCATGCTGAACCCCTTCATCTACAGTCTGAGGAATAAAGACATAAAGAGGGCTCTGAGAAAACTCATTGGGAAAGAAACTACTTAGAATAAATAGAATAAATTGTCCTAGTATTGAAGAATTGCCCTTGTTAGCGGGGTTCACAGCTTTAGACTTAGAAATGCTGACAATGTTATCATATTATGGAACTTGTTCCTCTAATCATCTCCAATAACTTCCTGTAACTTTGATTTCAACTTCTTTACACAATGAAAGAACATCACCTTATTTAGCCTTGTGCTCTGTCTGATAGCAACTTTTTCCCTTTGTTCATTTTTGATGAACACAGTCTATCCTAACCACAGATCAGAAATACTTGGAAATCCTCATTTTATGGAGAAACATGAATTTCCAATGAATAATTTCTTCTCAAATGACATACACCAAATCATTTTACTTTTTCCTATGAAAACTAATCCTGTGTGGTATTTCCGTTATAGAAAGATAATAAGTACACTTGATGACCATGCTCATTTAAATGATTTATAATACAAGAAAATCTGACATCAGAAACTTGCAGTTTTGTGTCCATCATCCCTTGTTCCATCACTACCTTCATTCTTCCTAAGGTACAGTTTAACACACTGATGTGTTCATAAATCATCACTGGGTATTCGTCTCATATTTGTGATCCTGTTTTATTTTGCATCCAGTGCCCAGTCTCTACATAGTCACTGGTAGAAATTAACGACTGTCTACAGATCACCACCTGCACATGCCTGTAGAGTTCCTCCTCTCCATCCAGTCCTTTGTAGACGTGTGTTTCACCTCCCCCACAGTTTCAAAGATGCTGGTGAACACACGGACACAGAGCAAGGCCGTGATGTATGGAGGCTGCATCACCAGGTGTACTTTTTTTGTTTTCTCAATTTAGGTTAGGATGAATTCCTCCTCACCATGAAGGTCTCTGAACACTTTAGGCCATCTGTCACCCCCTGTATTATACAATCATCCTTAATCCCTACCTCTAGGGGCTGCTGTTTCAGTTTTCTCTGCTCATGAGTGTCCTGTTTTTCTCATTACAAAATTTAATGGTTTTGTGACTGTTTGTCTGTGCTAACTTAAATAGCTCCCATTGTTTTCTGAATTTATTTCACTGGTCTTTATTGCCTGTTTTGAAACCTTTTTTTCCCCCCTCTCTCTCTCTCTACAGGATGTGCATTCACAGTAGAGAGACAGAAAGAGGGAAAGTGAGAAACCACCATGTAGGGGGGATGGCCATGCAACAGTCCCTTTTCCTCCATTCTCCTCTTGGCATGTTGGGCATGCACACATATGTTTCCATTGTGGTTTTGAAGTTGCCAGTCCCAGGACTCAATCAGCGTTTGGCTATGTGGGAGCTCAGTGCCTCAACCACTGCACTGCACGCTGGTCTCTGGATACCTCTCTTAATGACTTGACAGTGAGTTTTGCAGCTGTGTAGGTGGATGGTGGAACTGTTTCTGGGATCCTTTATTCTCTCTATATAGATAGATAGATATAGATATAGATATTATACATTTATTCATAGTACCATTACAGTAGGAGGCAACTTACTCTCTGACTCCAAAATATATTATAAAGCTGTAATAATCAAAACAACATAGTTCTGGCACAAAAACAGGCAGGTAGGTCAATGGAGCAGGATAGATACCCCAGAAATAAACTCCATAACATACAGTCAACTGAGTTTTGACAAAGTGCCACAGTCAATCCAGTGAGGTAAAGAAAACCTCTTTAGGAAACGGTGCTGGAAAAACTGAGTATCCATCTGCAAAAAAATGAAACTGGACTCCTCTCTCTCACCAGCAACAAAAATCAACCCAAAACAGATCAAAGATCTAAACCTAAGACCTCAAACTCTGAAATTACTGGTGGAAAACAAAGGGAGAAACTCTTAGAGAATAGGACTAGGCAAAGGCTTCTTGAACAAGACCTGCAATGCACAGGCAATGATCCCAAAGTACAAGTAGATTACATTAGATTAAAATCTTCTGCAAAGCAAAAGAAACAATAATTACAGCCAATTAACAAGACTCAGACTGGGATACTATATTTGCAAGTCCACCTTCAGGAAAGGGACTAATATCCAGAATATACAGGTAATTCAAACAGTTTACCTGAAAAAAAAATCAAATCTATTAAAAGATTGGCAAATGAGCTGAACAGACAACTCTCCCAGGAAGACATGTGAAAGCCAAAAGCATATGAAAAAATGATCGACATCGCTAATCATAAGGGAGGTGCAGTCAAAATGACAATAAGATATCATTTAATCCCAGTTAGAATGACTAAGATTTAAAAAATGAAGACTTGTGGGCCAGCAGGTGGCATAGTTGTTAAGGGTGCTGGACTCCCAGATCCCAATGGTTATGATTAACTGCAGTTTGAGTTCCAGACCTGGCAACTTTCTCTCTCTCTCTCGCTCTCTCTCTCTTTCTGCCCTCCTCTGGTCAAATAAAAATAAATAAATAAATTTAAATAAAAAATAATTCTAAAAGAAAAATAAGTGCTGGCAAGGATGTGTTGAAGAGGGAACTCTTCTACATTGTTAGAATATAAATTAGTACAACCACTGTGGAGAACAACGTGCAGATTCATTCCTCAAACGTACTAATAGAACTCGCATACAATCCAGCAGATTTCACTCCTGGGTATCTACCCAAAGGATCTCATACAGAAGAACACTTGGACATCCATATTTATCACAGCATTATTCACATTTTCTAATTCATGGAATCAACCCAAATATCCACGAATAGATGAATTGATTGAAAAAGTGTGGCACATATAAAAAATGAAGAAACAAAAATGAGATCCTGACATTTGATAGAAAGTGGACAAATGTGAAAGATTCCTGCTAAGTGAAGCAAGCCAGACAATGAAAGAAAGGCATTGTATGCCTCCACTCATTATATACTGAATGTCAGCACTCTATGGCAGGAACTGAATGATTGAAAGGTATAAAAGCAGGAAGAGCAATGATGATACTGGAGACAATGGGGGAGGACGGTGGGATATGGGGAAGAGAGAGAGGGAGGGGGTCAAGGGGAACAAGAAAGAAGCAAAACATGTAAGGGACCCAAAATAGAAAGAAATCTGTTGATCATAATGTTTATGGTAATGTTTTGACTGGACCGATATGCAGTGCATTCATGATTGGAAAATTCACTTGGTAGGCTGTAATGTTACACAGTGACTTAATGTATAAAATAAATGAGTTTTAAATATAGGGAAAAATTGGAAACTCTTTGAGCACCATTTTGATGCCACAGTACATAATTTCATACCTGATTTCATGTCATAGGTCATCATATGACATGTACGATGGGAAAAAATTGTATAAAACTACCTTCAGGCCATCTGTATATGGTGTATATTTTTTTCTGGAGAGGTTTTTTTTTATTCGCTATAGGGCGCGTGCGCTCGCCAGACAGACAGAGAGAGACATAGAGACAGAAAGCGAGAAATCACCCCCCAGGGAGGATGGTCACGCCGCAATCCCTTCTCCTCCATTCTCCTGTCGGGATCTTGGGCACGCACGCACACGCGCCCGGCGTGAGTTTTAAGCCACCGGGTCCGGGACGTGAACCGCGGTCGACTACGTGGGAGTCCAGCGACATAGCCATTATGCTAACTGCTGGTTCCCTGTATATGGTGTATATTAAAAGACACTAAATTCTGTGTTTACTTTGTCTTCAGTCCACAAGATAACTGAGTTTGTACATGCAGAACTTTCACAATAGGAAAAATCTGAAATCAAAGCATTTCTGGCCTCAAGCATTTCAGATAAAAAAAATTCAACCTCTATTTTTTAATTTTTTATCTGCTAAAAGTTGTTTGTGCTTGCTGAAGAGAGGCAGAGAAGGAGAGAAAAAGCGAGAAGGTACCCTGTAAGGGGGAGGGTCACACCGCAATGCCTTCTTCTTTACTTTCCTCTTGAGATTTTGGGCATGTATGCACACATGCTGGGTGTAATTTTCAATCTGATTGATCTGGAACGTGAACTGCACAGTTGGCCATGTGAGATCCAGCTGCCTTAATCACCACGCCACCCACTGACTCTCAACCTGTGCTTTTTTTTTTTTTTTTTTTTGTCTCAACCTGTGTGTTTTGTTTGTTTGTTTTTTTGAGAGATTTTCGCTATAAGGCGCGTGCGCTCGCCAGACAGACAGAGAGAGACAGAGAGACAGAAAGCGAGAAATCACCCCCCAGGGGGGATGGTCACGCCGCAATCCCTTCTCCTCCATTCTCCTCTCGGGATCTTGGGCACGCACTCACATGCACCTGGCATGAGTTTTTTAAGCCACTGGGTCTGGGACGCGAACCGCAGTCGACTAACGTGGGAGTCCAGTGACATAGCCATTACGCTAACTGCTGGTTCCCTCAACCTGTGTTTTGATGAGCCATTTTAGTCCACAGAATAAAGTACACTTGGCAACTGAAAGGCTGTTGATATAATTTTATTGTCAATACATATCTGAAACAGAGCATTTGCCTTTTGCATCCATCCTCCACGTCGACATCACTACTTTAACTGCTCTTCCTGGTAATGTAGACTTCAACTTACTTCTGTGTTTTGTAACTGGTACTGGGAATTTACAGTCCTATTGGTAACCCTTTTTCAGCTCAGTATCCACAGTGCCTATTATATTCCTTGCCAAGGAGTAGGCCAACAGAACTAGCTTATCAAATACAAATTCTGATTTTAGTCTGCACATAGAGACACATATGTATCAAGCAACTGACTTAATGTGGTCCCAGAATCACAGATAACCTTAACTATGACAGAGTAACATTTTCAGTACTATACTGTGTTACTCTGGGGGATTTGTTTACGATGAAATACATCTACCCATTGAACTGTGGAATGTCAGTGTTCACTTGTAAGTTTATTCATTGGAATTTATTATTTGGTGTCATAGTCTCTGTTATTTCATTGTATCATCTTGGTATTTCTGCTTAAATATTCTCTGTGGTGGCTCATATTTGTGTAACAAAAAAAATTTTAAGGTGTAAAGATTTTTGTCAAAACATTAAAATGTAATATATGGGTTTTTTTTAAGAGA